TGCACTAATGCAAACAAATGCATTTTCTTTCTTCTTTTCTATTTCTTATTCTGTTTCTTTTCATTTCTTTTCTTTCTTTTTCTTTTCTTGCTTGCTCAAGCTCTTCTTTTCTTTTCTTGCTTGCTCAAGCTTTCTCATTCTTTCTTATTCTTTCTTATTCTTTGTCGATCGGACTCGGTTGGTGCATGGATTCTGAACCCTAGCCGTGTGAGTGAGTACAATCCTCATCTACATGCACTCTTGTGGACTGTACAAAATTATTTCTTCTTCTTAGGCCACTCAATTAAGGTGGCGTGCATGTAGGAAATTCTTCTTGGTATAGCCCTCATCCACATACACTCTTATGGGTCGTACAAATTATTCTTCTTCTTAGGCCGCTCACTTAAGGCGGCGTGTATGTGGGAATCTTCTTCTTATCACCCACAGGTTCCCCATCGCAACAACCTTTTCTTCTTTTTATCTTTTTATACTTCTTTAAATAAAATTCAGATTTGGAACTTTTTAATATTCTTATTTCTTTCTATTTAATCTTTAAAATTCTTTAGTGCTTTTTCATGCTCTTATGGATATGTATGCATGTAGATGGCTTCATGCTTATAATTCTTTCTAAATTCACATGTTTAAATGCAATTATGCAATATGGAATGCAAACATGTCATTCTCCACCATCTACAAACTCATCTCAATACAACACGTAATCATACTCATATAAACACTTCTATTTGACAATTCATAAAACAACTTATGTGCACAAAGTAACCCTAATTTGGCTACATTTCTATCTCTTTTCTAAGCCACCAAAAATTAGGAATTAAACCCTCCATATTCAATGCCAAATCTGCCCAAAATATATAGTTCAAAATTTCCACTCCAATTCTTCCAAATCTCATCCAAACATTCATCAAACATCCAATACACCAACACAACTACTCATGGGTAAATTATAATCATCATTCAACACCAAATCCATCAACAATTTCTAAATATAAGACATATGTATACATAAAAGAAATTCTCTACACCATAACTTAAATCATACTTAGGGTAGGATCTACTTACCTTGTATAAGAGCAATCCAACACTTGAAAAACCTTCTTTGATCCAACTCCCTTTCTCTTAAATCCTATAGAAGCTTGAGATTGAAAATCCACTCAAAAACACCCAAAACCTATGAATTTTCTTTGAAGAAGAATTGAAGAATTTGAGAGAATATGGAGGTGAAAGTGGCATGCATATGGGTAAGAGTGGCTAGGGTTTCACTCTTCAATTTGATATAACATAAAAATTACATATAGTTTCCCATTTTGCACTTGCACTTTCTTTAAAATTCCATCTATGTCCCTTAGTCAATTACCATAATGCCCTCATTTTTATTGCATTTTCCATGAAATTCTATCTCTTTTCACTCCCCACAATTTCAACTAATTTTGAGTAAAAAGACCATTTTACCCTTAATGCAAGTTTAAGGCATTTTCTTCACATTTTCTCAAAATAACTTCAACAAAATCAACTAAGGGTATAAGAACGTAAATTAAATTACGTACCTCCATGTAGGAATTACAACATCAAAAAGGAACCATGTCTCTTTAAACACCATCACAAATGTAAGAATATTGATATCCATTATGAATTGCAAGGCCTACAATCATCTCTACCATACAAATGAAACTAATGAGCCATTTTGTCATTAGTATTTACTTATTGGAATAATTCAGCCAGTCAAAAGTCATAGATCTGGCAAGCTGAATTTTTTTATCAGAATGTCATTTTTAGGAAAATAACTAAAAATACCATAAATGAGAATTCTTAAGATCACTATGTTCTAATCCATAAATCAACGCATAAAGTCATTCAAAATCCATAATGATAACAAAAACCTACCAGATAATCAGGAAGTCCTCTTTCGTAAATCTTCTCAATCCCTAAAAATGCCTCAGGTCTGCAAAGTTGAAGCAAAGAATCAGCAAGAAACTACCATTAGCTAGACAGAGCAATAAAATCTTAAAGTATACCCAAAGCTTTAGTATCAGTCATGCAGAACAAGAAAAGATCAAAATCTTAAAAATTTGGCTGACCCCCCTTTTATTTTTTGTAACACCCACTTTGAGGTACATAGCTTAAATATGTTTATTTGCCCTTAGTTTTGTTAGTTTGCCCTTAGTTAAGCTTGTATGCTTTTAATATTGCTGGGTTGCCCAGAATTTTTGTGAAGGTTTGGCGAAGTTGGGATTTGCAGACTTCGCCGCGGCGAAGAAGAAACCTTGCCGCGACAACATACGCTTTGTAATTTTTCGCCAAGGCAAAGAAAAATATTCGCTGGGGCGAAGAGCTAGCTGAATTTCTTGAGAAATTTCTAGAGGAATTTTCCTTAGGGGTAAAGTGACCATTCTACCCCTAATTAGCAGGAAAAGTGGGAAGTTAAAAGTAAGAAAATTTCATGGAGAATACATTGGAGATGGGGGTGTATTTGTAAAGAATCAAAGGGCAAAGATGGAATTTTTAAGGAAGTGCAAGGGCAAAATGGGAAAGAATGTGTATTTATATAAGGTATTAAGGGTTTAGTCTTACAAACCCTTCCATTCTCTACACCCACACACCACTTCCACTCTCCATTCCTCTCATCTTTTCATCAAATTTTCTAAGGGAATTAGAGGGCTTTTGGTGGGATTTTGGTAGAGATTTAATCCTAAGCATCAAAGGTAAGGATTCTTTCTATAAATATGAGATTAATTTGTGCAAGTGTTGAATTCTTATAAAGTTTATGCTTAGGGTTTAGAGACAAGAAGAGAGATCTTAGTGGAATTACTCAAGCACAAGGTGAGTAAATCCAACCCTAACCCTTGTTTGAGCAATAAAAGTGTAGAGATTATTTTATATGAATCTTATATGAATTTTATATGCTTGAGATTTGTGGATGGAATTTGTTTTTGAGTTGATGATGATCCATAATTGGATTTCCACCATGAGAAGGGTTGGTTGTGTTGATAGAATTTGATAAAAGTTGGGTTGAATCTAGAAAGAGTTTAAGAAGATTTATGAAGTGTATTTTCCTGGCCAGGATTAGTGATGATTTAAGGGAGTGTTACTCCAATTATTGGTAGTTTGAGAAAGAAGTAGAAATATACCCAAAATAGAATTTGAGTATGCATGCATGTTGTTTGATGAAATGCCTAAAAGAAATGTATGCATGAGTAGAGCAAACTTATTTTTGTGCTACATGGCATTTTTCCATTACATGTTTCCACTTAGAAAGAATTATAAACATGAGCCATCCACATGCATACATATGCATATGTATGAGCATATAAAGAATAAAGAAAGAAAGAAAAATTAAAGAGAAAGAAAGAACATCACTGAATTAAAGAAAGAAAAGTGCTAAAGAAGAGAAAAGAACAGGTTGTTGCGATGGGGAAGCCGTGGGTGACAAGAAGAAGAAATTCCCACATACACGTCGCCTTAAGTGAGCGGCCTAAGAAGAAGAAGAATTTTTACAGCCCATAAGAGTGTATGTGGATGAAGGCTGTACCAAGAAGACATTCATACATGCATGCCACCTTAATTGAGTGGCCTAATAAGAAGAAAGAATTTGTACAGTCTGCAAGAGTGCATGTAGATGAGGATTGTACTCACTCACACGGCCAAGGTTCCAAATCCATGCATCAACCAAGTCTGATCAGCAAAGAATAAGAAAGTATAAGAATGAATGAGCAAGCAAGAAAGAAAAGAAAAGAAAATAAGAGAAGAAAGAAAATAAGAAAAGAAAAGAATAGAATAGAATAGAAAGAAAAGAAAAGAAAAGAAATAGAAAAAAAGAAGCATAAAAACATAGAAAGAAACAGAATAAGAAATAGAAAAGAAGAAAGAAAATGCATATCTATGCATTTATGCATTTGCATCTCATCCATGCATGTTACCATGATTCCTATCATGGTTAGTGAGAGATAAGAAAGAAGGAAAGAAAGAAAGAACAAAGAGAAGTAGAAAGAAAGAAATAACCAAGAAAGTTAGAATGAAAGAACAATGAGAACTAGAAACAATGAAAGAAAAGAGAAAGAATAAAAAGAGAATGAAGAAGAAGAAAAAGAAAAAGAGTATAGTAAGGAAAGAATTCAAAGAGTGAGCAATGGAGAGAGGGAATAGAAGAGTAGAGGATTTACTTACTAAGCAATTAGTGCTCACCCCGTTGTTTCTCCATGTTTTGCAAGAAATAGGTGAGAAGCGGTCGGATGGACGTCGAGAAGCAAAGAGGAATGGCACTTCTATCCACCGTTATTAAAGTTATTGTATATATTTTTTTTTGTTATGTAAAGAATCATATATTAAGAAAAGAAAAAATTTTGGGCCCATTACTTTTCATTTGATAATTATGTGTGTTTATCATAGTATATTTTTCAAGTACACTAATTAGAAAGAAGCTATTACATTTTTGGTATCAGAGCAAAGATTTTGGGATTTGACAGTGTGCCACTCTCACCGCATTGACATTCCATTGTCGACCGTTGTAAGTCAATTCTTTCCTTACTTAAAGCAGTAAATGAGTTATTTGAGTTGATTGAAGTGTGGTTGTCTTGTAGATGAGACGTAGAACCCGAGCAAGTAGTAAGAAGACAATGAGTGCGGGGGAACCTTCTAACCCGCCAGAACCTACTCCCTCTACCCTTGATGAAGCCAGAATCCGGGGTTTTATGCAACAAATTTTAGTAGAAAGTCAAGGCAGAGTTGTACCTGAAAGGATTGAAATGCCCATTCAAGTATCGACCACCAGGGAAGAAAGAGAAAGGTTAGTACCTTCGACAATACAGAATCAGATTGAGCCGATATATGGGCTCCCAAGCCAACATCAGTTGTCGAAATTTAGAGGTGCAACGAACCCTTCAATGGTAGAAGAATGGTTTAGGTCCGTAGAGCACACGATGGCACTGTTTTCTATGACAGACCGCGAGAAAATCTAATATGCTAGTTTTCTTTTTCGAGGTGACACCCAGATTTGGTGGGAGTTAATGGAAGATACCCATGATATAGATGTGATAACGTGGGGAGAGTTCAGAAGATTATTTGAGGCTGAGTGTAGAACAGTTGACCGGGTTCATGAGAAGATCCAAGAGTTTATTAGTTTGAAGCAAGGGTCTAGTACATTGAAAGAGTATTCGGTGAAATTTAACTCCCTTGCACGGTTTGTACCCGGAATAATGAATACACCGAAGTTAAGAAAAGATAAGTTCGTTCATGGGCTGAAGCCAGAGATAGCCCAGGATGTAATGGCAGGAGTAGAGCCCCCTCGATCATATAATGAAGCTTTAGAGCGGGCTTTAAGGGCAAAGATATTTGTAAATAAGCTCACTCCAGTAGGTACATCAATAACAAGACCGAGTGAACCATCTCCTGCTCCACATAGAGAAAGAATTGATGTTGCAAGAAATAGGGAAATGAGGAATAAGAAGAAATTTCAGCCCAAGAAGAATAGAAAAGATTGGCAGAGTAAACGGCCAAGAACAGCAGAGTTTCCCCCATGTCCAAAGTGTGGGAGAACTCATCCAGGAGAGTGTCTAAGAGAGTTAGGCCTAAATGTTTGTTATTACTATCGACAGCCAGGACACTTGATGAAAGATTGTAGATTTCCTCTTCCACCTACAGCACAGACTTCTAGAGACACTAATGCCAGGGTGTTTACAGTGGCACAGGGTGAAGCAGAGGCCAGTCCATTAGCTATTACTGGTCAGTTGTTATTTCATACAGTTCCTTTATATGCTTTGATTGATTCTGAAGCCACTTATTTATTTATTACTTATGGGATGATAGAAAGATTAGGTCTGAAACCTGTTGTAGTAGACCAACCCATTAAGATAGAGTTACTTGATGGGGTTAGTGTGGTGACCCATAAGATGCTTTTAAGAGAGTTCGTAATGATCCATGGAAGGGAGTTAGCAGTTGATTTAATAGTGTTCGATATGCCCGACTTTGATGTGATCTTGGGCATGGATTTCCTAGGGAGGTATGGAGTAGAAATTGACTGTCGGAAGAAAAAAGCGAGATTCAATCTTGATAATGGAGATAAGTTCAGTTTTGGAGTAGGCCATCAGTCGAGTATGTTGATTAGTAGCGTAAAGGCCAGGAAGATGTTAAGAAAAGGGTGTTCTAGGTACATTGCCCATGTGGTGCAAAGTAGTGACATCCCACAACCAGAGATTCAGAATGTGCTAGTAGTCCGGGAATTTTTAGATGTGTTTTCAGAAGATTTGTCAGGTTTACCTCTGAAAAGAGAAGTAGAGTTTAGTATTGAATTGGCACCAGGGATAACACTGATTTCTAAAGCCCCCTACCAAATAGCCCCAGCTGAGCTTTAGGAATTGAAGAAGCAACTCCAAGAACTCCTAGATAAAGGTTTTATCCGACCTAGTCATTCTCCCTGGGGAGCTCCAATTTTATTTGTAAAGAAGAAAGATGGGTCATTACGGATGTGTATAGACTACAGAGAGTTGAATAAAGTGACAATGAAGAATAAGTACCCGCTACCTTGTATAGATGACTTATTTGATCAGTTGAAAGGAGCAGCATTGTTTTCAAAGATTGATTTTAGGTCAGGTTATCATCAGGTAAGAGTAGCAGAACAAGATATTGCTAAGATTGCTTTTCGGACAAGATATGGGCATTATGAGTTTGTGGTGATGCCCTTGGGTTAACCAATGCCTAAGCAGTCTTTATGGACTTAATGAACTAGGTGTTTCATGATTTCCTTGATCAATTCATTGTGGTATTTATTGATGACATCCTGGTTTATTCTAAGTCAAGAGAAGAGCATGAGGAACACTTAAGATTTGTGCTGTAGTGATTGAGAGAAAAGAAGTTGTTTGCCAAGTTTTCTAAGTTTGAGTTTTGGCTGGATCAAGTTATATTTCTGGGCCATACTATCTCCAAAGAAGGTATATCAGTGGATCCTAGCAAAGTGAAGGCAATCTTAGAATGGCAAAGGCCGAAGACAGTAAAGGAGGTTAGAAGTTTCTTAGGATCAGCAGGCTACTATCGGTGGTTCGTAGCAGGTTTTTCCCAATTGGCTAAGTCGTTGACTGCTCTTACTAAACAGAGAACTTCTTTTATATGGTCAGATGCTCGTGAAGAGAATTTTCAAGAGTTGAAGAAAAGATTAACGACTGTTTCCATTTTAGTGTTACCACAGGAGGGTGTAGATTATGATATTTATACAGATGCCTCACTACATGGACTAGGTGTTGTGTTGATGTAGATAGGTAGGGTAATAGCTTATGCTTCTCGACAATTAAAAGAGTACGAGACAAGATACCCTACACATGATCTAGAGTTGGTAGCCGTGGTCTTTGCATTAAAGATTTAAAGGCATTACCTATACGGTGCTGAGAGTAATATCTACACCGACCATAAGAGTTTGAAGTATTTCTTTACTCAGAGGGAGCTAAACATGAGACGGAGGAGATGGTTAGAGCTGGTTAAAGATTATGACCGTGAGATTAAGTATCAGCCGGGGAAAGCCAATGTAGTAGCCGATGATTTGAGTAGAAAAGATTATTTGTCCCGACTCACAAAACAGAAAAAGTTAATAGAAGAATTGTGTAAAGAACATATTGAAGTAATACGGGGAAGGATTGCCAAGTTAGAGGTTTAGTCTACTTTACTGGAAGAGATCAAAGAAAAGCAAGTTGTTGATGAGTGGTGTCAGAAAATAAGTCAACAAGTGCTTGAGGGCAAGATACCAGAGTTCCATCTGTTAGATGGTGTCCTCCGTTTCAAGAATTGATTGTGCATTCCTCAAGATATTGAGTTAAAGAAGAGAATTCTTACGGAGGCTCATGACACCCCCATACACTGCTCATCCTGGAGCAACCAAGATGTATCAAGACTTAAAGAAAGGCTATTGGTGGCCAAGTATGAAGAAAGTTATTGGAGATTTTATAGCCAAGTGCCTGGTTTGTCAACAAGTGAAAGCAGAACACTAAAGGCCGTCAGGGTTGCTTTAGCCACTTAGTATTCTTGAATGGAAATGGGAGAGTATTTCAATGGATTTTATTACAAGTCTCCCAAGAGTGTAGAAAGGGTCTAATGCCATATGGGTGATAGTAGATTGACTGACTAAAGCAGCCCATTTTCTTCTAGTAAAAAAGAGCACTACTTCGGATCAATTGGCCCAGATTTATATTAAGGAGATAGTGGCACATGGGAGGTGGAGCAAGATATGTAGAATCGTTACCCGGAGTTGTTTGTTTGAATTTCGGGGACGAAATTCTTTTAAGGGGGGGAGAATCGTAACGGCCACTTTGAGGTACGTAGCTTAAATATGTTTATTTGCCCTTAGTTTTTTTTGTTTGCCCTTAGTTAAGCTTGTACGCTTTTAATATTTCTTGGTTGCCCTAAATTTTTGAAGGTTTGGCGAAGTTGGGATTTACAGACTTCGCCGCGGCGAAGAAGAAACCTTGCCGCAGCGATGTACGCTCTGTAATTTTTCGCCGAGGCGAAGAAAAATATTCGCCAAGGCGAAAAGCTGGCTGAATTTCTTGAGAAGTTTCTAGATGAATTTTCCTTAGGGGTAAAGTGACCATTCTACCCCTAATTAGCAAGAAAAGTGGGGAGTGAAAAGTAAGAAAATTTCATGGAGAATGCAGGCAAGCAGGCTGTCCATAAAAGCAATGACAAGAGGGAACTCAAAATCTATAGACAAGCAAAATATCAGACAACTGCAATTTATCGAAAACTAACCTCCCAAGTCAACCATCACTGCTACCTAGTTGCAACATGTGAAAAAAAAAAAAAATAGAAAGGAAGAAAGCTCAAAACTTCATTTCTTTTACTCAATTAAGCCTACATTTAAGCTAAAGCTCAGTAGATAGAAGTCACATAAACTTTAATTCAACATCGTTTTCATCATTTAAACCCCAAAAGATAAACACTCCCTCCTTTCAAACGAATCCATTTAACTTTTCTCTTTATACTTTCTCTCGTTAACCATAAACGCTAAGCGATCAAAATTTAATCATGAAACCAATAACAAGAACACAAAATGAAAAAACTAAAACATACCCAACTGAAATAGAAGCTTAATCTCGAGCCCACTCTTGCCACATAATAGGAGTCAATGGAAAAATCTCATTCATAGCTTCTCTTGCTTGTCTCAGCTTCTCAATCTCACCCATCTATACTAAAACCACCAACAAAAACAATAAAAAAGCAAAACAATAATATTACCAAAAACAAAAATCCAAGAACTTGGTATTGAAATTCATATTCAAATTGATATAAAAACGTACTTGAACATGGACTTCATAGTTGGAGGGTTCATTGGCAAGCTGGGACTCGATGTCTTGAAGCTCAAATTTTTGTTGTGCTTCATATTCTGTGTCTGAGTCCGAGTCACTTGAGTCTCTCGAGTCTGGAGACTTGGGCTCTGTTGCTTCTGGGTTTTCGTTAGTATCCGCCATAGCCGTGTCTATGTCTTCTTTTTCTCAGGTTTTCGACGCTAGGGTTTGATCTTCTGGTTCCATTCTTTTGCTTCGTTTGCTTTGTGTTTCTCTCAAGTGTACTAAAGGGTTGGGTTTATTGCAACGATACCCAGAGATTTCGCGTGAAATTTCCCTAATTTTTTAAAATCACACTTCACCCCCATATATATATATTCTAATTCTAATAGGGAAGATTTCCTGCTATTAATTATTATATTCTTTTGATATAAGGAAAAAAATAGAGAAAGCAAATAAAATAAAATAAGAAAATAAACTAAAATAAAATCTTAAAATTATCTTACATGGTATCCATTTTGAAAGGAAGACAAATTATTTTGGTATTATTTTATTTCTCGGATGTAAAAAAGGTTAACCATTTATTCAAAATGTCTTTCTTATCCTTTACACGATCATTAATTGGAACAAAACTCCATTAGGGGTAGAATTGTTAGTTTCCAGACCTTAGAGATGATAGGGTAATAAACCACAAATTGTCTAATTATTTAAAAAAATTAAATATATATTTATTAATTAGGACTCATTTTTCTTGACAAACATATAATAACAAAAATAGAAAAAAGGCAAAAGGTAAATAGATTTTTCTTTTATGTTATAATTATTCATTTTATTATAGTATTTTATATTTTTTTTTTTTGAAAGAAAACTCTTTATTACCAAATCCTTTTTCTGAAAACAAAATAGTGCATATCATAAATTTAGATGGAAATATGCATATAATAAGTCTATGGGTGATAACCCTCATCCAGTATACATCATTACATGCGGCATGACATGCAAAATGAAGATGTCGCTTGGACCCAACCTCGAGTGAAAATCACTACTCAGCATGATTCCTGTGTTGACCTAAAAATACTCAATGAATGGATGATTTTGTAAAACATTTTTTCTTTACTTATACTTTTTTGAAAAAATTGTCTCCGTAATTATGGTACAATTATATGAATTATTTCTTATAAACTGATATTAATAAACTAGAGATATATTATATATTTTCTCTAATTATGTATTTTTAATGTCTGGTATCTAGTACTGAAACTATTATTATTAATTGTTTACTTTATTAGTTCATTTATGATACATTAAAACTAATAATTTTTTTAATATTGTAAAATGGAAAATTGATCTGATACTATAAAACTAATAACTGATACTGAACTCATCATAAATTTTAACTGATACATTAACATATATGATCAGCACATATCAAGTGATTAAACAGTCAAACATACACCCATCTTAATGAAGAACTTTTGTTATGAATGTGCTTCCTAGATCGTATAACATTATAATCTCTGTTATGACCTTTATTTCTTGCAAAATTTGGCAACAATTGTATCCATCAAAACTAAATTCTGAAAATAGTTACAAGAATCGGATGACTAATAGTTGAACAATATAATTTACATAAATTTCAAATGTTTTCTTTTAAAATACAACTCATTAACTGTACATAAAATTGCATGACAGTAATAAGTCACAAGAACCAATCAATTATGGAAACATCTTCTTGCAAGTGTAATACAAGAGTGACTGTAAAAAACCTTTTAAGTGTTTTCTCATCCGATACCTTTAGAAGGTGAGCAACTTTGTAGAATCCTACATGATATCTATACACACATTCTACATTTATTGTTGGTTTCATCCCATTCCTACAAGGTTTTGGCCTTGTAAGAGTCCATTGCCCATATGGCTAACGAATGCATGTAATTTAGCGCTCTAAAACAATCAATGGTGGTCCAAGCTTTAGGAGTTCAGAAAGAATAACTACGTAGAAAACAGCAATGAGTCAGTTAATTATCAGGAACAAATAGCTTTGGAGCAGATATTTTTCAGTGTAAATTATGCAGAATGTAAAGTTTCCAATTGTAGTCAGCAGAAATTTATCCTAAAGGCAGTAACCCGACGATGCAGGACGTAAAGGAAGGATGCGAATGGGTATTTAGTCCTTATCTTCTACATTTTAGCATCGAGTATTTGAGTCCTTGGTATCCCTTTCTTGATTTCTAATCTTAAACTATTAAGTTCTCTCTCTCACCCTATATAGAATCCTATATTATCTATCTATGGTATTCTTCTCCCCCTCCACCACCTAAAGAGCAAAAATATTATCTACTAGACATTATAACTACCAGAGTTTTGTCCAACATTTCACAAAATCAAGAATCTATTAGAAAATGGTTAAACGGTACAAAACAGATGATGAAATGAAATATATACAGATTTGAGATAGATTTAGATCTAAAAAACACAAACTCATACCTTAGTTAACAGCCTATTAACTAAGCTATAAGATAACAGCTTTAAACAAACTTAGGGGTTCTTACACGAGTACATTTTCAGACCATGCTGCTTCATAGATTTCAATGGCAATTTGAAATCCCATATCGACCAAATCTCCATGCTCATCGTTACAGCAACTGCACATGTAACACCAGATCATATTTTTCTTGATTGCAATGTTCTCATTTTTACTGTTCCAACAGGTAGATCCCATTGACTGGTCCCTATTGTGCATCCATATTCTTTAACATATTCTAGGGAAAACCCTTCTCTAATGCTCTTTTTGTTTTGTCTTCATCAACTATCACTGAAAGAGCACATGCTCGTGCATAACTACATTAGAGATACACCTGGTAAGTTCTAGTCTTATCAGATCTGAACTAAAAAAGGATATATATTGAGAAACAGAAACATGTGAAAGACTATAAATATATCAAGATTTATCAAGCTTGGATAATTGAGAATATCAATGAATGAAGTTAATCAGTTGCAACGTATCATTGTCCATTAAACTAATCAGCTTGAATAGATGAACTTGAGCGGCTACCATTATTGTCATAGTTGAAGTAAGAACCATTCCACAATTCCTCATATATAACTTTTGCTTACTGAAATTTGCACCAAACATAATCCTTAAACCCTTAAGACCTACTTCATGTGCAAATCCTGACACAGGCCTGCAATGCTACCACCTCCACTATATGAACTTACAACAGAGACAGATCACGTATGGTATGTCTAATCAGGGAAGCCATCATTCTCAATATTCCCCATTACCATCCCTAACAAATTTGAACATATGAAAGTGTTTGCTGAACCTTCTTCTTACCATAACCAAAATAAAGCATTTGGGTAGTTGGATGAACTTTTGCAGGATTCTGCTCCGAAAAAAAGTTTAATACTCACTAAAGTTTTATCACGTAAACTTCAATTTCGCTTTTGGACTGGAAATTAAGGAAGCTCGTTCAAACATTCACTATAATTTTCAGCCTTCATTAGTAACTACATGACTAAGGACATTGTACATTCAGTCAGCTTCACATTTCTCTCCACCATCTTATGAAGGAGTTCAACAACTTTTGGTATCTCATTATTCTTGAGGAAACCAAACATAAGCGTATTAAATGTGACTACATTTGGAGCACAACCTTTTTCCTCCATTTATGACAACAACTCATTTTCCATTTCTAGTTGTCCATTTTTACATAGCCCATTGATCAAAATGCTATATGTTACAATGTCTGGCACCAGGTTTCCATGAAGAGAAAATTTCTGAAATAGGTCCCAAGCAGTTCCCAACCTCTTTGTTTTACATAATCCATCAATGAGGGAATTCAAAACTTCAATGCTAACCGCAAACTTATTATTTACTAGAGCATTAAACATTTCCACCGCTTCCAAAACATATCCATTCTTGCAAAGTCTATTAATGAAAACGTTATATGTCCAAGAATCAGGGAAAACATCGTTAAGTCGCATCTCACCAACTAAATTTCGTGCATCTTTCACCTTTGCTATCAGAAAAAAGCCAGTTAACAAGGTGTTATATGTAAACACATCAGGCCTAATTCCTTTTGAAATCATCTCTCAATAAAGACTAAGAGCTTCATTGACTTCTTTATTCTTGAAATGCCAACTAATTAAAGTAGTGTAGCAAACAACATTAGGTCTATACCCCTTTCTAGTTATAGAATCAAACAACTCCTTTGTGTTAGAGTAGATGCCCTAAAGCCAATCAATTATTGTAGAATTGACTATTTGTAATAATGTTCATTAATCAATAAAAGACATTTTATTCTATATCGCGTAAATCATTATTATTGCAATATGTATTAATATATGTCCTTAGAATGGTAGAACCGTGACGAGGGTATCAAGTGTTTCAAATCTTGATAGTGAGAACCCTATGAGCACATATGGTGGCCATTCTAGAAACGTCCATAGCCTCAGTATTATTCTGAAGTAAGGGCACAGATAATACAGTAAGGCTATCATAGTGTTGAACGACCCTGTCGAAAGGCAGTGACTGATCTCACTTGTCAAGGTTGTTTGGTGACAACCTGGTGCAACACATGGGTGCTTGCTGTAGGCGGATATACCGCAGCAAGTTCACTGGACTGACCCACCAGAGGATTCCATATGGATGGTAACCCCAGTGTCTATGGAACAAATCCTCTAACGAATGGTGGTGCATGTGATCCTTAGACTTGAGGTCACCGGAGTGCCTTGTGCACCGACTGGTACAGTTTGACACTAGCCTAACGCAGTTCTATTCAGAGCTGTCAGTACGGTGGTGATTGGCTATATCAAGAAGTGTATCAAGACTATGGTGGATTGACAAAGGATTCATCACTCCCGGGTACGGGAGAAGTTATCTCACGGCGCAATTCAGTATATGGCAATGACACTAAAACTGTGGCCACAGTGGGATTGAGTTGTTGCTCTATCCAGTTTATAATACGCGTCATTGGTCCAGAAACTGAATAAATAATATCGAGAGTAACCGAAGGTTGACACTATTTCTATGCCTTCGTCTCGTCGAGATAACGTATGATGAAAGGATCGAATTGCACGGTAACCATATCGTTGACAGGTAGCTACTTTGCTGAATCCGAATCTATCGGGTGGCCATGATGCCTTGCTAGGGGCCAATCTTGGTCTGTGTATTAGTGAGACGATTAATTGGTGTTAATCGCAATACTGTACACTGCCGATATGATGAGGAGCCTAAGGGTCACACACATAGAAGACAATTTAAGATGCAAGAAGAAAGAAGGGCGTTTTCGTCTTTTAAGGCGAAAGGGTATTTTGGTAATTTCATAGTGCAATTAAATTTGCTGAGGTCGTAGCCTTTATTTAATTTGTTAGAAAAATTAAATAAGTGAAATTACGTTTAAATATGTGTTCGCATATATTTAATTAAATCATCATTATTGTTAAATGTTAATATATATATTAAATATATATTAATTGAGTTTAATTGAAATAATGATGAAATAAATAAAATATCAAATTGGGAGTGTTTGGTAACATGGGGTGTTTGGGTTGGAGCCCAAGCTTATTCCATATGGGAATAGGGCATTAAAGTTTTACTATAAAAGAATATGTTTACTTGTAAAGTGGGAGAGTTTTTTTTTTATAAGAGAATTTTTTTTTCTCTTTGAATGAAATACACAGCAGCCCCATTCTCTACTCCCACGGCAAAAACACTTTTGCCTAAAATCAATTTAATTGATTTACTTTCTTCTTAATCTTGAAGCCAAAGAGGATCTAGCAAATCTCTTTTGGTTCTTTTGAGATTGTCTTCGTGTGGACTACGTGGGTTCGATCCTGCACTTAGATCGGTAGCAAAACGTTCGTTGTCAAATTTGGAGGAGCCTCCAATGTGCGTTTGTTTTTCTTAAACTCAGATTTATTTTTCTGCAAATTTTACTTTAATATGAATTGTAAAATTATACCCTTGATCTTGGCTCATGTAAACAATCCTTGTATTATATTTTTTTTGTTTCCGCTACGTATACAGAACTGTTTACTAACACTTTGCATCACCAATTCTATCAGCCAAGCAATAACTGTTCATTAAAATGTTGTAGGTATAAATGTCAGGAACCACAACCCTCTGAATCATATGTTCCAAAAATAATTGTCTAGCCCTCTCAACTAATCCAACCTTACAAAGACGATCAATTATAGTAGTATAAACAACAACATCTGGCCTACAAATAACACCAGATTCTTTATTCCCATTAACCATCTCTTCAAGCAACTTAATGACAACACTTATCTTCCCTGTTTTACACAATCCACCAATCAAAGTGTCACAAGTGATCACATCAGGCCTACAACCAACAGCAATCATTTCTTAAACAATGCCATTGATTCCATAATCTTTCTCTCTGCACACAGACCTTTAATCAAACAAGTAAATGTCACGGTATTTGGACTAAAACCCAACTTCAAAATCGCCCCAAAAACCGCATAACCATCAAAACCCCTTTCAATATTACACAAGCAATTGATAAAAATATTCAAAGACATAAAATCTGGAGACAACCCAGTTGAATTCAACAGCTTATATAGCGAAATCACTTCATAATAATGCTTTTTCTTAGCTAGTGCACTAAACAAAGTAGTGAATGATGAAATTGGAGAAAGGGGTTTCGAATTAATCATGCAACAAAAAAAGTACAATGCTTCATTCAGAGTAAACCTACCTGATCGACAATTTTCTTCGAGGAATTTAGTAAGTGAGGATCGTTAAAGGGGTTTTTTGAAAGAATACGAAACTTCATTTTTGGAGCTTGAAGATGTGAGGTTGTGTAAGTGAGCTAACAAAAATAAAACATTAACTTTTGAAGATGGGTTTTGAGAGACTGAAGATGAACGAAATGGGGATCTGAATCTCAAAGCCATGCATGAAGAGTGTTTCTCAAAGCCATGTATGAAGAGTGTTTTTGTGGGTCGTTTTTTCCGAAGTGAGGCCATTGCAAAAGGCAAATGCATTAAAGAGAAATGTTTTGACAAATTTCACAAACAACCTTTAAGGTTTTCAAAATTGCAAACTTATGTCAAGTATCGATCTTTCCTATTCAAACCACCTTTATGATTTCGAAAATTGAAGGTTAAAAATGTAAATCCATGTTCAGGTGTTTTTCTGTTTGAAATGGTTTTCTAACAAATCCAAAAATGCAACCCAAACAAACCAATTTATATAAGTATTCGATTGGAATTTTTTTTACCTTTTTTTTTAATAAAATTATAAGATTTAAATAAATCATGCTATTGAACTTTGTATTTAAATAAATTATAAGATACATAATTTTTTTTATTAATTTTATAGATATATGTTATAGCAGACTAATAGTTTATTAATAATTTACAATTTATATATTATGAATGTACTTCTTATAACATTGTAATCTCTATTATGACCCCAATTGCTTGTAAAATTTGGAAACAATGGTATCCATCAAAACTAAATTCTAAAAACAGTTACAAAATTTCTGACAATAATGTTTGGCACTAGGCTCTCAATGAAAGAAATTTCTAAAATAGCTGCCAAGCAGTTTCGGATATCCCTGTTTTACATAATCCATCAAAGAGGGAATTCAAGCTTTCAAGGTCAACTGCAAACTTAATATTTACTAAAGTATGAAACATTTCCACTTCTTCCAAAACACATCCATTCTTGCAAAGTCCATCAATGAAAATGCTATGTGTCCAAGAATAAGGTAAAACCATTAAGTTGCATCTCACCAACTAATTTCTATGCATCTTTTACATTGGCTTTAAGAAAAAGGCAAGTTAACAAATTGTTATTTACAATCACATTAGGCCTAATTCCTTCTAAAATCTTCTCTTGATAAAGACTAAGAACTTCATTGACTTCTTTATTCTTGCAATACCATCTGATTAAAGTATTGCAGCAAACAACATTAGGTCCATATCCCATTCTAGTTAAAACTTATTCATTTATAAGATCAGTTTTTATGTTGTTTATTAGAGACTATTATTAGAGGTGTGTCACGAGGCAGCGAAGTCGGATTTAAAGTTCATTAGAGACTATACATTCAAAGATATATGGAATCAATTAGAAGAGCGAAAAATTTTATAGCTATAAGACTCTTCTATTCTAATTTTCAACGCATCATATTCTGCGAGAGAATTAATGAAATATGAGATATAATCTTGAACTTTTTTCTCAATGTTTTGACATGATAATTCTTTTAATTAATTTCTCTTATTCAATGGTAATGGATGGATCATTATGTATTTATTTAACATTCGTTTGTTGTTTATTGTTTAAATTTTCCATCTTAATCCTATGAACCACAAATTTTATGAGATAATTTTAATAATATTTAATCACGATGCTCATAGAAGCCAAGTTAATTTAAAGGGAATCCATGAATTTTAATGTTAAGCATTTATAATCAGTGTTTGCTTATTGATTAAAATTTTCTTACTTCAATCGAGAACACAACTACTTTTATAACTTCAATAATGCTTAATCAAAATGATTACTATTAATTTAATCTCCTTTATAAAAATATTATTTAAGTGCAAAACATTTAACTTTAAGCATGCATAAACTGATTACTTGTATTAAAAACAAGAAAGACCACAAGAAAATGAAATTATAACGAAATTTCAACAACAATTTTGTTGATAAACAACTTGACCTAAAAGCTTAAGCTAAAAAAGGTATTAAGCTCTATAGAGGCATCTTCACGTGTTACACAAACCAAGCCCAAATTCATACATAAAGACCAACCCAAATGTAGCAGGATGTAATACATGAGAGATTCAAATCATGACCTCTACTTTAATATCTGTTGTGTGTGATTTTTGTCGTAAGCTCGAAAGTCTCGGTAGCCCGGAAATCAGTAGATTGACGTGATCTCCAGGTCATGGAATCTTGAAGTCTGACTCAGCATAACCTCATCGCGACCATCAAATACAGCTGTTCAACAGACTAAGGGATAAGCCTTATCTCGAACATCTTGGGAGGGATAAGAACGAATCAATATTTGCGCTATCCTAGCACGCAATCACTAAAATCACGAAATCACTTACCAAGTTTGATGGCAATCCCGGATTTCTCTCTACTTCCTTTGGTGTAAACTTGTATAAATACCCCTTCCAAATATGAGAAAAGGGTTAGCAAATTCCAAAAATGAGACTCATTGGTGTGAAGTTAGAAGACAAGTTGATTCTAAGAGGCGACATGGGAAAGAGCCCATAAGGGAACAAGTTAATAATGATCGTCGAGGGGAAGCTCGCACTTAGTGACATAGTACATAAAAGAAACAAAAAATGAAACATAATTCATATATCACTTAAACCCTTTCAAGTACTCGCTTAAAATTAAGAAGGAATATCATACAAATACCATGGAATAACGTTTAATCCTATTCATGGGGATTATATAAATATTCCATTCCAAAAATAGAAAGTGAAACAATTAGATCTTTTTTTAAAATTGGTACTAATTCATGATTTAACATGTGCAAAGCAAAAACCTCATTCTCGATTCTACGAGAAATTTTATGAAAGCATCCAATAGAATCATGAAGAGTCTAAGTGAAACAAACATAATCATATGAGATATGGATATTCATTCAAAACAGACAATAAAAATGAATATATGTGTGCGGAAATTTTAATCGAGCGAGCATACAGATGATATTCTTCATATTCTTCCTCGGAAATTTTCTAGACCAAAGGCATTTTTTCACATTTTCAACAAGCATAAGATGCAAGGCCATTGCTATTTTAGTACACAAATTCAATAGTGCTCTAGGGGTCCATCTTAGGGTTTAGGGCCCATGGAAACTATTTTAGGCCATATAATGATTTCTTCAATTTGCACATACTACCTTCAAACCCTAGTGGCATTTCCATGTATACCTTTTTTGCAGGTTCACAATTCAAAAATGCGTTTTTTCAAATCTAGTTGTTGTAAAGGCCAATCTAGATTTGTTGCAAGAGACGAGCACCCTGATAGGGTTCAACTTAGCCATCAGAACAAAGGTCACCTCATAGTTTACTCCATAGGTTTGCGTAAATCCCCTTGCCGCCAGCCTTGCCTTATACCTTTCAACTGTTCCATCTGCCTAATACTTAATAGTAAACACCCACTTGTAGCTCACAGTTGTTTTCTCTTCAGGTAAACTCACCAGCTCCCAAGTCTTGTTTTTTCTCAAGAGCCTCCATCTCCTCTATCACAGTCTTCCTCCACTTTTCATCCCCTAATGCCTCATGTACCGGTGCTGGAACCTTCACAGCTGAGAGATTAGTAGTGAATCCCAAAAAAACATCTGCCAACTTATCGTATGCCACATACTTAGCAATAGGATGAAAAAGTACAGGATCTAACACCCTTCCTTAATGCAATAGGTAAATGTAAATCATCATGCCCTAATTTAGACTCATCAGAAGATAGTTCTTCCTTACCTTGTGACTGTGAATCACTGGTTTCTTCCAATTGGGATGATTGCTCATGTAGATCATTAGGTTTCCTTCCACTTTGAAAGTCAGTTCTTCGAGAATAACATTGGAGACTCGACTGATTTAATCTCTCTAGACCTCCCCATAGTTCCAATCTTTCCTAAGAGTCTAGTTTATCAAGAGTGGGCTATATAGTTAAAGTAGGACTTAAATTGGTTAGCTGACTACGAGACTGACTCATAATTATGGGACTAGGCTGACCTATAGGAACTAACCTGAATTAGGCTGACTAGGAGACTGACTCATTCTTATTGGACTAGGCTGACCTATAGGAAACTAGGTCACTTTGAACTTTGACCTAGACTGGGAGACTACTAAGACTGACTCAAGTGTGGTTGTAAGGGTAACACTATTCCCATGAATGACCTTCACAATCTCTCAAATTTGTTAGAGTAGATGCCCTAGAGCCAATCAATTATTGTGGAATTGACTCTTTGTAATAATGTTCATTAATCAATAATAAAAGGCATTTTATTCTATATCGCGTAAATCATTATTATTACAATATGTATTGATATATGTCCTTAGAATGGTAGAACCGTGACGAGGGTATCAAGTGTTTCAAATCTTGATAGTGAGAACCCTATGAGCACATATGGTGGCATATAGGAAAACTCCATAGCCAGTTATTCTGAAGGAAGGGCACAGATAATACGGTAAGGCTATCATAGTGTTGAACGACCTGTCGAAAGGCAGTGACTGATCTCACTTGTCAAGGTTGTTTGGTGACCACCTGGTGCAACCCTGGGTGCTTGTTGTAGGCGGATATACCACAGCAAGTTCACTGGACAACCACCAGAGGATTCCATATGGATGGTAACCCAGTGCTATGGAACAAATCCTCTAACG